AATACACTGTTCTGTGTGTTTTAGGAAATCCTGTTTACTCCATCAGAATTTTACAACCAGCTTTTATTGTGCTGAAGCTCTAGGATGTAAAGCAAGAAGGGAGTTCCTTTAAATAACACCTGAATGACCCGACAGCTGTTTGAACACAGATGGCGGTGCGTCCCCCCTCGACATGACCAACATACCTACGGCTGTAAAGACKGGAAAAGGTGCGTGAAGTGACTAGACTGACGGGGAGACTAAAACAAGCCCGTCGTGTTATTTACAGACTACAAACAACTCATATTGTGCTCGACGGGTCGCAGGCTGAAGAGGAACAGCTTTTATCTTGAGCCATGTCTTGTCCTTCGCAAAGCAGTCCTGGTGACGTTGTTGAATATGTTTGTCTCACTTGTTCCCGTGTGGTCTGTGACAACGATGCTTTAGGCTTCGTACACCCTGTAGAATAAAACGGGTAGTTAGCTTAGCTGGTTTCACTTATCTTTATGCTAAGCTAAGCTAACCAGAAGAACAAAGAGGCCATTTATAACTATATTAACAAACACTTACTAGGCATTCTGTAATCAGCTTGTAAACCACTTTCATGTACAGTAAAAAAAAAAAAAAACATACAGCCTTTTAAAATAATTTTTACTACAAACACATTTACTGTACAGTTTTAGGTTGCTACCTGTGCTTGTCTTTCCAGATGCGAAACCATTTGACCAGATTCTTTGTGCTCTGAAGTTTGGGATGAAGACAGTATTCCTGTCCCTTGAACCGGGATACGTTCTCCATCGTCACACTGGAGGGGTGTGCAGAGAAGAAAGAAGACATTAGAAGTTTGTGAAAACACCTGTCAGGATGCTGTGGTAAAGCATAACGACTGTAGCTGTAGCTCTAGCTTGTGAGCTGTTCCCAAATGAGATAACATACATCTGTACATATTAAGGATGCAAACAATTAATCGACTTGTGATTAATTGTTGAATAATGATTTATTAGATTAAAATTCCTTCCATTCGATTAATTGAAAACATCAGTTTAAACTTTATTTCAGGGTAGTTTGGCCGCTATCCAGAAGTGGGCGCTGCTGCGCCCAACCTGGCCTTACCCTGGCCCTGTTGAGCTGAGCAGAGAACCGCCTCATGGGCAGGATCGTAGATAAACGCGCAAATCTTATTTAGTTTTATTTGTGACATAACAATTATAATGGACTACACCAAACTCGAAAGAAAAGTACCGAAGGCTGTACCGGACTACCCAGCAGTATGACGCTTAAGACAATAGAGCAGGACGACAGAGCTAACTGTAGCTAAAGTTAGCTTCTTCTTGTTGAGTTAAACTCACATGAAAGAACAAAAACAAAAAAAAAAAGTTATAGTCTCTACAAATAACTAACGTGAAGTTAATCTCATCTGTGTGGCGTAACTCGGCCAGTGAACCAATCAAACGAACAATAAAAATAATTGACATCAAATCAAGCCGAGCAGCCCAGTTCCGGAAAACAAACACAACAGCACTCATTTGTATTCTCACCCCTCTTAGGGATATTATATAATGTTTAGCTTAAAATGTTACCCCGTGTTTAAATGATAGTTTTACGTCTCTCTGTTCAGAGTGGATAAAATGTTTTACATATTTWTTCTTTCCTTAGCAACCTAATCGATTCCTGTATTATTATTTAAAAATATGTTTAAGTTTATTGATGTGCGAGAAGTTCACCATTTTCTGTTTATTAAGTCAGTGTTTAATACAGCTAGCACAATAAATAATAAACACAAAAAAATAGCCCTTCATGTTATAGAAAGTACCTTGATTCATAAGAAATGTCAGATTTTTAAGAAAATGGCCACTTATCTATTAATCGATAAGATCGATCAACTTTAGATTAATTCATTAGTCGACAACTTGCATCCCTAGTACATATATTTAACTGAAGGTTGCGAAACTTTCAGCATGCTTCAGACCGTTCTATTGGATCAGGCTGACCATGAGAAGAATGAGACGAAGCTTTGACAGAACTAAATGAAACACTTTACCAAACCAGACAAAATACTTTTAAAGTCCTTTAAACGCACATGTTGTAGTTGTTGATATACAGTAAGTCCCATAGAAAATGTTCTCACAACTCAAAGGATCCACTTCTTGGCAAAGACACGTTATTACGGAGCTGCAACTTCAGAAAAGGTGGCACCTAAAGCGATCTGTCTCTAACTCGTTTACTGGAGAGGATGACGGAGACAGTCTGCCTGCATGTGGCATATTCAGCCCCACTGAATGTGGGAGAAAAAAAATCCACTGCCACCGTCAAAACCTCAGCAGATCATGAATGCTAAATGACTGGAGGATAAAAGACTCGACTCTTATAGTCAGTCTGACTAAGAATTCAATTAAAGTGTACTGCATCTTTTCCCCTGCCCATTCAGTTGTCACTTTATTTGGCTATTAAGGCTTCAGCTGGATCACTATGTGTGCTTTGTAGAGGTGGCATTTTTAAAATGTATGGTTAAAGACCGCCGAGCTGTTTCTGTATGCATGCATGCCACTGGACTCGTATCTGCAAAGCTGCTCAACAGGGGGGGAATTTAACCTCATTACTGTGATAATTTGAGCTTTGATTTCTGCTCATTATCATTCACCTGGGCAGCCGAACGCGGCGCAGCTTTAAAACCTCTGAGCGGTACACACGAAGCGAGGGGTGAGAAACGAGTGAAACAGAAGGAAGAAAACGAATCGTAAAAGATTCAATTAGGAAAGACAGATGAAACAGAAGGTAAGTGGAGAAAACAATGTGAAATGAGAAGAAATGGGGACATTTGGGGCTCCCTGCGTATGTGAGTGTGTGTGTGTGAGTGTGTGCATGTGTGTGTGTGTGTGTGTGTGTGTGTGTGTGTGTGTGTTTGTGCTTTGGAGCTGCCGCTCAGAATGCCAAACCGAGAGCCG